ATTATTTTTCAATTTCAGTATCAGTAAACAGATAGAATATAGACGCTGACAAACAAATACATAAATAAAACAAAACAACCTAACAACACACAAACACAACAACCGTTATATGAGAACAAAACAAACTAATTATAAATCTATTCTCTCGACTGGTTTCCTAGCTCTCATGGGATAACGTCTCTGTGGTGTAGTGGAGGAACGGTGTTGTACAGGTGTACGGTGTACAGCTGGTGGTGAGTTGCGATCAGCTGTTTGTGGAACCATAGAGCGCCGCGGAGTGGTGGGAGAGAGGGACGAGCGCGTACTATGTCCCGGAAGCTCGCGCGTCATAGGACTGACGTCACGCTCAGCTGGTGTACTCTGAACAGCTGGGCGCGCGATGACTGTAGTTGCCGTGGGCCTGTTGTCTGCATCTGATGTCAACACTGGGCCACTGTCGATAGCTATCAGCTGATCAATGTGTCTTTTCCACGTAACCCCCGAACTTAACTTAACTATATACATAGTTGGACTTATCTGTCTAACCACACATCCTTCAATCCACTTATCCTTAGATCTATAATCTCTAATCAATACATTTTGGTTTCCAAACAGATATCGAGTCTTACTACCCCTAGCATAGATCTTTTGAGCTTGTTGTTGTCTAATTAAAGTCTCAGACAAATTAGGTCTGAGTAGGTCTAATCGGGTTCTCAAAGGTCTGTTAAACATTAACATAGCAGGTGTCTCATTAGTGGTCATGTGCACAGAATTGCGATAGTCATAAAGGATTCTACTTAAGGCTACAGAAGTATTTACATTTTCCCTAAATGCACATTTTAACTTTGACTTAGCATACTTAACCGAGTTCTCGGCCTGTCCGTTACTTTGAGCATGGTACGGAGCCGATGTTGTGTGCTTGATACCGTTATGTTTCAAGAATGAGGCAAACTCCATTGAACTAAATGGAGGACCGTTGTCACTATGGATTGACTCTGGCAAACCAAACTGTGCAAACAAATCACGAAGGTGATTTATAGTGTGATTGGCTGAAGTCGAACTAGTTTCAAAAACTTCCAGCCACTTTGAATGTGCGTCAACTACTATCAGATACAACTTTCCCTTGAATGGGCCTAAGTGATCTACATGTAACCTAGCCCATGGTCTACTCGGGTAATGCCAATGATGCAATTCGGCTTTACTAGGATTTGGTCTTTCAAGAAGACAGGACGAACAGCTGTTAGCAAGGTTCTCTATGTCTTTGTCTAGACTTGGATACCAAAAATAAGAACGCGCAACAGACTTCATTTTAGTTATGCCCAGATGAGACGCATGAAGTTCATTCAAAACATAACTTCTCAAACTACTAGGAACAATTACCTTGTACCCCCACATCAAAACACCTTGCTCGACAGCTAGTTCCTCCCTCCTCTGATAAAATGGGAACAATTCAAATTCCTCTTTAGGGACAAAAATTGGCCACCCAAACATGACATAGCCTAACACTCTCCGTAATAACGGGTCTTTTTGTGTTTCTACTCTAAATTGATCACATGTCACTGGTACTGAGCTCTCTTTAACAAAGTGTAAATAAGTACCTAACCACAACAATTCGGGTTCCTCGTCTGCTGGGGACACTTTAAGCAGTAACCTAGACAACGCATCGGCGCTATTGTTGTCTGACCTAACATATTTTATGTCAAAATCATACCCTGACAGGAACAGGGCGTATCTCTGTAATCTACTGGCTGCGAACACAGGCAAGCCTTTCTTAGGTCCAAAAATACTAATAAGGGGTTTGTGGTCACTCTTAAGGGTAAAATGCTTCCCGTACAAATACTGGTGGAATTTCTTAACACCATAAACTACAGCTAATGCCTCCTTATCAATTTGTGAATAGTTTTGCTCTGCTTGGTTCAATGTACGTGATGCAAAACTTACTGGCTTTTCAGCACCATCTTTGTCTATTATACTAAGAATACAACCTAGACCATAATTACTTGCATCTACTGTTAGTATTACTGGTGCTTGGGGGTCATAGTGTGCTAGCACAGGAGCCGTACACAATAGCTCTTTAACTTTTTTAAACGATTTCATACACTCGTCATCAAAACAAAATTCTACATCTTTCTTCAAAAGGTCATACAAAGGTCTCAAAACACCCGCAATATTAGGGACAAACTTAGAGTAATAGTTGACTAGACCCACAAATGATTTTACTTCTGTCACATTTCTCGGTACAGGGGCATCGACAATTGCTTTTATCTTGGCTTGCGAGGTGTGAAGCCCATGTTTGTCTATAGTAAACCCCAAAAACTCCAATTTTGATGCAAAAAATTTACACTTATCTTGTTTCACTGTGAAACCTACAGCCTTGAGACGTGAACAAACTTCCCTTAGTCTACTTAAATGTACTTCGTCATTAGGTCCTGATACAATTATATCTTCCAAAAAACATTTCACACCTTGCAACCCTTGCAAAGCTTGTTCGATGACTCTTTGAAAGATACCTACTGCTGATGCTATGCCATAAGGCAATCTTTTGTACGCAAACAACCCCTTGTGTGTACTGATTGTACACAGCTTTTGTGATGACTCATCTAATCTTAACTGCATATAGGCTTGACTTAGATCGATCTTACTGAAAAATTCCCCTTTTTGTAGTTCTGTAAACAAATCTTCGACCCTAGGAATGGGGTACATATCAATTTCTAATTGTGCGTTAACATGCCTAAAATCCCCACAAATCCTAATGCTACCATCCTTTTTAGGAACTGGCACAATAGGCGATCCATACTCTGAACTGCAAACTGGGACTAAAATATCAGACTCCACCAAACGTTCTAGTTCTTTTTCTACCTTTGCCTTAAGGGTGTAAGGTAGTGATCTGGGTCGATGATATTTGGCAATGGCATTTTCTTTTACAACCAGCCTTACGGGCTTACAGTTACATTGTCCTAATTGATCTGAAAAAACTTCAGGAAACTCTTTTACTAGTTCTTTAACTAAACTTTCATGTTTACTCTTTGATTCACAACTACTTGTAGCGACAAATAATTCCTCAACATTTTTGAAAGAAATTTCTACTCCTAACTCCCTTATCCAGTCTCGCCCCATAAGGGGGTGAGCTCCGTCCTTAATTACGTACAAGTCTAAGGTCCTTCTTTTATCTCTGAACTGAACATTTACCTCTAGCTTACCCACAGGGTAAATTGGCACATTAGTGTACGAGCTTAACCTTATGTCAGTAGGAAACAATTTCAAAGCACTCAAATTATCTTTGTAATAAGCCTCGCTTACTACAGTTACCGAAGCACCCGTGTCAACTTCAAAAGTTACTGACTTGTTCTCAAGAATAACCTCTGTTTTAAAAGGATCAACCTTAGTTATTTTACTGGACCCTTCACTAATTTCAAACAGATTACCTATACTCTCCTCAATATCATCATTTACGCTTACATCATCAGATACCTCATCTACATAGTTATGCTGCTTATTTCTATTATATCTAAAATCACTCTTATTACTACGGAACTGAAACTGTGACTTACTGTTTTGCTGAGATCGACACACTTTTGCTAAATGATTTTTCTTACCGCACTTGTGACATGTCGAACCTTTAAAACGGCAATTCCTGCCGATGTGACCGAAGTCACCACAACAAAAACACTGCCACTGCACTCTATCATTTGACGTTGACGCCGACGCCGCTGCAGACGATGTTGGCTGTTGCTGTTGTCTACCTCTTCCGGTGTTGTGATGCGCTGAACCTCGTGGGCGGGGCTGCTGACCTGATGGGCGTGGTGAAGCTGAAGCTGATGCCGCCGCCATGCGTTGGATCCTCCCGCCGTGACCATCGCTGCTTCCCGCCGAAAGTGACGCCGCGCTCTTCTCCGCCATCTCGAACTGTGACGTCATCTGCACTGCCTTCTCGAATGTTAAATTTGATTCCGATAAAAGTCTCTGCTTCATTGAATCACTTCTGATGCCGCTAACCAGGCGATCTCGTAGATAGTCATTTAAATTCGCGCCAAATTCACAATGTGTCGACAAATGCTTTAATTGCGCGATATACTGGGAAACACTCTCGTTTTCTAACTGATTTCTCAAGCTGAATCTATATCGTTCCGCAATGAAAGATGGGGTCGGGTACAAATGGTCTTTAATTAATTTCACTAATTCAGCGTACGATTTAGTAGACGGTTTGTCCGGTGTACACAAATCTCGCAAAAGCTTAAACGTCTTTACACCAACTACTGTGAGTAACGTACTAACCTTTTTCGTTTCACTGACCTCATTACAACTTAAAAATAGCTCGAAACGTTCAATATACGAGTCCCACGTTTCCTCGTGTTGGTCGAACTCCCCGACGCTTCCTATAATTCCCGCCATTTTATGTCCGAACTTAAATCCTTCACTAAATAACTTCTCTATGTTCATTCCTTCCCCACACAAACTAACAAAAATCTTTTTATGGCGCTAAAACAAGCCATTTACATCACGCGTACAGTACCGGACGTAGACCGACGCTTCACTCCCGAACGTTAAAAACTGCTCCAATTGTCCTCGTCGCCACTGAAGTGTCGTCACCCTGACGTACCTTCGTTGACACGGTGCTATTCTTATACACTGTAACTAAGTCACTACGTCACCCTGACGTCTTACACTACGGGAATCGGGAAGTTAATAAGCACTACGGTTTAACACTGTAAAACTGCTAACGACCGAACGGGCCGGAGTTACTCAGGATGGAAGCTGGCTATAACTGAGGTGTAGAGGTGTCGGTTAACATGGACTCATGGGTTGGGGAAGTGGCGTGACCCGATCGTCCAATAGCATTCGTTTATTCAAATATTATTAACTGGTAGTGGGAAATACAAACGGTTACAGTTCAACGTACATATTTAAATATTGCCAACAGCTTGGAGGTCCATGTCTCTCCTGTCTGCCTCTCTCAATAGATCGTCCACAACAAGAGCTCACAACAAGGGCGAGATAACTCCTCCTTGAGGGTACCCCTGTCAAGCTATGATAGCTGTAGAGTAGCCGCCCAATTCTGCTGTCACCTCCCTGCTCTTGAGCAGAGCGTTAATCCAAGCTGCTAAGTCGGGGGAGATGCCCCTGCTTCTGACTGCAGCATCTATGGAGTTGTAACTCACATTGTCAAAGGCACCTTGTATGTTCATGAAGACCCCTGCCAGGAATTCCTGGTGTTCCAGAGTTTCCTCGATCTTTGCCTCTAGGGTGCTTAGGGCCGTTGTTGTTGATTTACTCTTCATGAACGCGTGTTTGCTTGCACTAAGGGGGTTGATATCTAAATATGTGTCCCTAATGTGGCGGTTTATCACTTTTTCCATGGTCTTTAACATGAAAGACGACAGGCAGATTGGCCTGTAGGACTTAGGCTGGGCCTGGTCTCTACCTTTTTCAGGAGAAAACCCACCCTTGAATTCCTCCAACAGATTTGGATGTATCCTAGGGCAAAGCTGCCTCTGAACAAAGCTATCATATGATTTATAAGGACCTCTAGTCCTTCTTGGATGAGAGCTGGGAATATTCCGTCCCCGCCTGGGGACTTGAAAGGGCTAAAAGATTCGACAGCCCACTTAACGACCTCCGGCTTGAACAGCTTACTTGAGAATCTTCTCGCCATTGCAATTTCCCTAGGCGATTTCCTATTCCAGGATATCAAGTGTTGTCCTGTTGAATTGCCTAATGGGGTGTTCCCTCGGAAGTGGGTGTTCATGAGGACTTCAAGAGTCTCCTCCATGCCTGTTGTGTGACTCCCATCCTCCCGTATTAATGTACCAAGAGGATTAGGCACATCTCTCTGAAGGGCTTTTTGCAGTCTGGCTGATTCTGGTAGGTTTTGAATCCCCTCACAGAACTGCATCCAGGTCTTCCTTTTACTTTTCCTTGTCTCTGAGTTGTACTCCATTAGGGCTCTTGAGTAGTTAGCCCAATCCCTCGTTCTTTTTGTGGTGTTAAAGAGTTTCCGGAGTTTACATCTCATCTTGCTTAGCCTCTCGTTCCACCAGGGCACGTTTCTGGTTGTCCTTTTGGTTTTGAGAGTACAGTATTCCTCGTAGGCTTTTAGCATTGACCTGCTTATCAGTTCTGCCTTCATGTCAAGGCCGTCAATGGTCATGAGTTGGGTCACCTTATCTTCAACTTCATCCCTGAGGGATTCCCTGTATCCCACCCAGTCAGTTGTTTTAAGAGCCCTGTATGTCAAAGCGCTTTTGATACTTGCTAAGTACAGCTGATTAGTTGAAGTTCAAATCATTACAATTTAATTCTCTATCAATCCTTGAACCTCATTGGTCCGTTACCTGTGTTGTTATGAGTAAAACTATGCTGTTATGAAAGTAAACAATGCTGTTATGTGAAACTTTTCAATTCTAAGAACTGAACTGAAACGGCTACTTTAAAAAACGGTCGTAGGTAAAATAACTTTTAAGCACAACATAAAGGAAGTAAAATGTTGGGATTTAAAAGTAGCTTCCCCAACATTGATCTAGTAGCTAATTCTGTTTTATACACTCTATGGTACCATATTCAAACCAACAGACATAGGGTAAACTAGGATAATGACTGGCTAGTCCATGCGAGCAAATCCCCTTAGGTCCAAAGGAATACACGACTAGTGGAAATGTAACGAGCTATTTTGAAAATATACAGAATTTGTTAATTAAAGTGAAAGTAAGTTAGGCTACTGATACTGAATTATATACGTACGGTATGTCTAAATGACAATACCGAACAAAGCATTAGTTTCAAGAACGCTATGCGCACAGTTTTTGCATTCCTGCATACATCAGCGCTTTGCTATTTCATGAATTAGCCTCTGTCTGTTTCCCAAATCAGTATCTCTATGAATCAGTTTGGGGTTTCCTGAGATTCTTTGGCCTGAAATATCAAACATGCATTCCTAATGGAGTTTTTAAAAACATATTTAGTATTAGGCCTAAACATCTTTTGTCATTAACATTTACATAAACCTTTTAAGTGCAGCTTTGTATTAGATCCTATTAGACAAATTCTTCAAAATCATTTACAATTTTGTAAAATAAAGAAATAGATAAAGCCATTGACTATTTATACCTATAGTCAATGATAAACCATACTCCCCTAGTAGATTTCTCATCCTTAGCCAGAAGTCAATTTTATTGTTGGTTCCGTCAGTGCACTGTAGAGGCTGTGTTTTGTTTACAATTTGTTTCTTGTTACAGTAGAACATCTTTAATCCAAACCCCCGTAGTCCGAACATCCACTAATCCGAACGCCTCATTGCTGTACTCTATTCACAGTACAGTACCTAGTTCTTTATTGTATACTGTATTTTTTTTATATACGCATCGCAATTGTTTCTATTGTAATGTACAGTACTGTTTATTCACTATGTTTACTACTGTATTAAATAATCACTGTATTTTACTTTATAAAGCATTTTTCACTTTTCCCAAAAAAATTACAATCCATTTTAGCTATTGTTATGTAAAAACAATAATATGTTCTGTAATCCGAACTATTCACTAGTCCGAAGAACCCCCGGTCCCAATTAGTTTGGATTAAAGAGGTTCTACTGTATTTCAGTCATTTAAAACCTCATTCAACCAAATAAACAATCTAATCTTAAACAATAACTTGTCCCCTAGTAATACAACCAAATAGAAAAGCACAAATCTTGAAATATCCCTAAAATAATAGAAACAAAATTTCGTGGACGCTTGATCAATGTCTGACATGAGATAGACACGAAAAATGAGCTTTAAAATTTAAAATGGGATGAGAAGTCCACTTGTGTTGGTTAGTCGATTAAGTGTAACAAAGGGCCACGTAGCCCTAACTTTACCTGTGTGTTCATTCATGATTTTGACTACCGTACATATATGTGGTCCCTGGGATAACATAAAACTAAGCTAATTCAAGGGGGCCTGCATTGATTCTGGGAAGGGACCCTAACCCAAAAAATCATTTAAGTATTAAACACTTTATGCTCACACTGAATATATGTTCCAGAACTATTTAGATGCAATGGCTATAGTTCAAGTTCACGGCAAACCTACTTAATTCATCACAATGACTTGCAATCCGAAATGGCCAGAAATCACAAGAATATTAAGTGATACAGCGGAATCGGCAAATTATCGCCCCATTATATATTATTGGTTGAGTTTTCGACCACTGGACGACCTCTAGTTTATATTAAATAGGATGTAATGACCTTTTCTAACTATGCCAAAATATTGGGTTGAAGTAGGAAAAAGATTTGCTTGAAGGAGCAAGGTTCAAGAAACTTTACAAAGAGTAAAAATTTAACACATACAAATTCACAATACTCAATTTTAGATAGTGTGAAGGCTACAACCCTGATTTTAATCATTTTTATATTCATAAGCTAGTATAAATTATTATTACTATTATTATTATTTTTTTAATGCCTTTTACTCATAAATGAACAAACAATAAATATGTATATGGTTTGTTTCAGAAGTGGCAATAGACAATCCCAGACATTAGGAACAGAAACTTTAGTTTGTTGCCGTGAAGCTGCATATCATCTTGATGTAATACTTAAAACAATAGCTAAAAAAGGTATAAGTTTCTATTGAACACTATAAAGAATCAATAAAGTCAATAACTACTTTGTAAAACTATAACTAAGCCTCTATATTATAATTAATATTTAATATAAGATTTGATAAATGTTTAAAAGTAAAAAAAAAACTGATAATTTATTTAAATAGGCCAAGTAATATAATACAATTGAACGTAAAAGACAAGTAAAAGAAGTACGGTAACATTCTACATCTATATCGTACAATAAGTTATACAAATCAGTTATGACTTTAGAGCAAGATATGTCTAAAAATTAAATGAGACCCATAAATATAACTTTTGAACATTTAACAATATCTTCAAACAAGGGAAATATTTTAATGGACTTACAAAGTATTCTATCTTAATGAGTAATTAATTAGCGACTAGGTTATCTGATAAGTTCCATAAAGCAAGATAGTAAAAAGTTAAAAATGTTAAAAATCCCTAAAAAGCTTTCTAATCAGTGTCCATTATGTAGAAAGGTCTTTTCATGTCAGACAAAAATGAGGAATCATATATTGAAGCATACAGGTGAGCGTCCCTTTAAATGTTTGAAATGTGAGAAAACATTTATCCGACTAGATCAAGTAACGAGTCATTTAATGATGCATTCTGGAGAGCGGCCTTTTAAGTGCAATACTTGTGAAAAAACCTTCACAACCAAAAGAGGTATGGACAGTCATAAATTAGTTCATACGGAAGAGAGACCTTATACCTGCACTGCATGTGGAAAATCCTTCAAATTGAAAAGCAATTTGAAGGTACATACATTGCTTCATACGGGACAGCGACCTTATAAGTGCACTTCATGTGGAAAATCCTTCAAATACCAGAGCAATATGAAATTACATACATTGGTTCATACTACTGTAGAGCGACCTTATAAGTGTAATACATGTGGAAAATCCTTCAAATTTAAGAGAATTTTGAAGAACCATACATTGGTTCATACTGTAGAAAGACCTCATAAGTGTGATACATGTGGAAAATCCTTTACAGCCAAAAAATATTTGAAGATACATACATTGGTTCATACTGGAGAGCTACCTTACAAGTGCACTACATGTGGAAAATCCTTTAGATACAAAAATGGTATTACGAAACATAAATTTTCCCATACTGGAGAGCTGCCTTATAAGTGCATTACATGTGGAAAATCATTCACAAGCAAAAGCTATATGAAGGAACATAAATTGATTCATACTGGGGATGGAGCTTATAAGTGCAATATATGTGGAAAATCCTTCATATCCAATTCAAAAATGAAGAAACATACATTGGTTCATGCAGGAGAGAGACCTTTTGAGTGCACTACATGTGGAAAATCTTTTAGAAGCAAAAGTAGTTTGAAGGAACATATATTTGAACATACTGGAGAGCGACCTTATAAGTGTACTACGTGTGGAAAATCCTTTAAAGCTAAAAATAATTTGAGGAAACATACATTTGTTCATACTAGAGTCCGACCTTATAAATGTACTACATGCAGAAAGACTTTTATAACCATTGGCCAACTGAAGAGACATACATTGGTTCATACTGGAGAGCGGCCTTATAAGTGCAATACATGCGGAAAATCCTTTACATTCAAACCCGACTTGAAGAAACATACATTGGTTCATACTGGAGAGCGACCTTATAAGTGTACTACTTGCGGAAAATCCTTCACAACCAATAGTTTCATGAAACGACATGCATTTGTTCACACTGGAGACAGACCTTATAAATGCAATACCTGCAAAAAGTCCTTTATAACCAGTGGCCACTTGAAGAGACATAAATTGATTCATACTGAAGAAAAACCGTATACGTGTCATACATGTGGAAAATCCTTTACCGAAAAAACTAACTTGAAGAATCATACATTGGTTCATACTGGAGAGCGACCTTATAAGTGCACTATTTGCGGAAAATTTTTCTCAACCAATAGTATAATGAAGACACATACATTGATTCATACTGGAGAGCGACCTTATAAGTGCACTACTTGCGGAAAATCCTTCACAACCAAAAGTATAATGCAGACACATTCATTGATTCATACTGGAGAACGACCTTATAAGTGCACTATTTGCGGAAAATCCTTCTCAACTAATTGTGCAATGAAGAAACATACATTGATTCATACTGGAGAGCGACCTTATAAGTGCACTACTTGCGGAAAATCCTTCTCAACCAAAAGTATAATGCAGACACATTCATTGGTTCATACTGGAGAACGACCTTATAAGTGCACTATTTGCGGAAAATCCTTCTCAACCAATAGTGTAATGAAGAAACATACAATGGTTCATGCAGGAGTTTGACCGTATAAGTTCACTTCATAAAAATCCTTCAGAGCCGAAAGTAATATGAATGAACATGCATTAGCATATACCGGAGAGCGATGAATGCACCACAATTGCAAACTTCTTAAGAATTATAAAACCTTTGATGTAACAAAAATCTGTTCAAACCGGAAAATGACTCACATACGTTCATTACATAGGAAAAAATCTTACACCTAAATGCTATTTAAAGGAACACTAGTAGCAAGCGTCACTTTGTAATTTCAGAATCCATGACATTTTTTCATTAATGTACAATTAATGCTCTGAGCTAAGTTAATTATCTATTTTATACGTGATAATCATTAACTTATCACTGACTTATTTTTAAGCAAACCCTGAACATAACATTGTTATTATTAGTTTTTTCCAATACAATATAAAATCACGCATAAATAAATGGTATCAGAAATCTGACGTATACTTTCTCCCATAAGCTTGTCAACAACCTTTAACCTCAACAACCTCTAAAGGTTTTTAGATCATGTGAGCTATGATAATTTTGTAGGAAATAATCACAAAAGTTGTTATAACTTTTGAACAGTAATTGTTACAGTAATGGGGGTTGCATTATTTTGTTTAGAATTATAAGGACCATAACACATTAATTTTAATAAAATACCCCCGCCGCAGCAAACCTGCAGACTAAGCGAATTTCCATTTGCCTGATTGGATTTACACTAAAATGTCTCCTTAAAAATATTACATTTATTCCCTATTTAAATAGCATTTGTTTAACAAGTACCTACTTAGGTTTGCTGCGACAGGGAGGGTGGTAAAAAAGTGTTTTTTTGTAAAATTTTAATAGTTTAGTATGAAATGAATGCATTTTCCGAATTTGATCAAAATGTGCTCTTAAGCAAGCAAACTACAACAGTTTAAAATTTTCTCCATAAGAATCACAGGAGAATTTTAAATTTACTTTTTTTTTATTTTCTCCGTAGCCATTAGGCACATAATAATTCTTCAATATACTAAATTATTTGTTTTTTAAGCTCTACAAAATGGTTTGGAAAAAAGTTGCTAAATTTTATGTTTTTAGGGTCAAAAATGGGAAAAACCAATTTTTACCCCATAAAACCCCCCATAAACCCCTCTACCCATAGTCCGATGCTGGTTCGCGAACTCAACCAAATAAACGTAGGTTTACACGTTTGTACCAAATTTCATAAAAATCTGATGACTTTTGCTTGAGTTATCGCGCTAACGGACACACATATCTATATATATAAAATCCAATGTATGTTTGTTTGTTTGTTTGTGCGTTTGTGCTTTATGGACTCCGAAACCGCTCGACAGATTGTAATGG